ACAATATAACATACGATTTCTTTTTCCTCTACCAAGCAATTCTTCTTCTACATTCGCACTTTGTGCAATCTGCGGTACTTGTGCTCCTGCCACTTCTTTTCCTTTACAGTAAGCAAAATTTTCTTTTTCATTTTCACCTTGTACCTTCTTATCATCTAGTTGAGAAACAAACTTAGCAACTTTAAGAGGAGAAACATAAATTCCCTCATCCACACTTGAATATAAAACAATACTTTTATCTGAATCATTTTTTTGTATATCAGCCCTCATCCACACTTGAATATAAAACAATATTTTTATCAGAATCATTTTTTTGTATATCAACAGAAACAGATTGTTCAGCAGGGGTGCGATCAACAGTAGGTTCAGGATAAATTGATATACTTGACTGAGATAAAATATTAAAATTAGGGAACGAATCCACAGAATTCCTCTTTCGTTTACTAGTATATAATTTTCCCTGCTTCAAAAAAAGCAAAAAAGAAATGGAGAGATTTTTACAACTAAAAACATAATGAAATGAAGTAAATTATACATATCCAGTATAATTTACTAGACAAAACAGTATACAGATGCTAGTTTTCCAGTATAATATACTGGACAACAAGCTTAAACACGTTAGAATTCCTGTAAAATATATATGAATCAAACAAAACTCAACCATAATATAATAATCATCCAGTATAAAATATTGGAAACCAAAGATTCACAGGACAATAAAAAAAAGTGCTATTAATCATTCAAAAAATAAATAACAACTAAAAAAATTTTAGTCTATACAGAATTCATCCAGTATAATATACTGGACAACAAGCTTACACAGCGTAGATATCCTGTAAAATATACAGGAATCAAACAAAACTGAACTATAATATAATAATCATCCAGTATAACATACTGGAAACCAAACAAACTCAAATACTTTTTTCAAGAGCCTAATAAAAAAAAACAGACAAATTATAACTCAAAACAAGAATTGACAAATAAAATAAAATTCTAGTCTAAAAAGAACTAATCTAGTATAACATACTAGAGAAAAAACTTAGACACAGGAAATAACAAAACTGTGCACACTAACCTGCTGAATCTTTTCACTAATTTCATGAACATCAAGAGGTGCTTTTTCTTTCAACTTCCTTTCAACTCCTTCAACATTATCTTTACTTTGTTGGATGCACATTTCAGAAAGACTTGCCAAACCAGTCTCAGATTCTCTTTCCTTTGCTCCAGATGCTGCATTCACATTTACTATAGGAATAACTTGTTCTACTTCAGGTGAATCCAAAATTATATTTCCTTTTCAATATCGCGAAAAATGGCTTCAACATCTGTACCTCCTGTTGCAGCATCTGTTTCACTTCCCTGAGAAAATAGATTTCTCTTATAATATAAACATTTAACACATATTGGACAATCAAGCTTAAATACGACACACTTCCATTAAAAGATACTGAAATCAAACAAAACTCAAGTATTTTTTTGAAGAGCATAATTAAAAAAAACAGAAAAATTATAACTCAAAAAAGGAATTGGCAAATAAAACAAAATTCTAGTCTAAACAGAACTAATCCAATATAACATACTAGAGAAAAAACTTAGACACAGGAAACAACAAAACTCCGCACACTAACCTGTTGAATATTTTCAATAATTTCATCAATAGCAAGAGGTGCTTTTCCTTTCAACTCCCTTTCATCTCCTTCAAAATTATCTTTACTTTCTTGGATGCACATTTCACAAAGACTTGCCAAACCAGTCTCGGGTTCTCTTTCCTTTGCTCCAGATGCTTCATTCACATTAACTATAGGAATAACTTGTTCCACTTCAGGTGAATCCAAAATTATATTTCCTTTTTCAACATTTGTACCTCCTGTTATACCTCCTGTTACACCATCTGTTACACTTCCCTGAGAGACTGCAATTATGTTACTTTGCAGAATATTTTGACTAGACTGTGGTGACCATTTTTCTATCGGATCACTTATTTTTCTAATTAGAGAATCAATATCACTACCAGCTGTAAGATCAGTCTCAACCACAATTTGCTATTTCTTCATTACAAATAAGACCTTTCATTACATCTGCACCACTTGGTCCACCTTGATCACTGCATTTCTTATTTTGTGCATCTTTGAGCGATTCAATATCCATTGGTGGTATCTTTGATGACACAGCTCCACAATTTTCCTTATTATCTTGACTGCACTGTGGTGTTGAAATTTGATATGTCCCATCAGCTATTTTTTGCCAGATAGCATCAACATCAGTACCAGTTGACTGACCTTGATCAGGGGCACTACATTCCACTCTTACTTCATCACAAGGAATTTCCTCTGAATTTGCATCATTTGCTGCTTTTTCATTAGTAGTCTCTTCATCAAAACATCCAACACCTACTGCAGCTTCATGTGGGGCTGATTCAACATTCATGGCTAATGGAATTAATGATCCAGCTGTGGTATTTTGTAAAATCTTTTCACTGGAATGTGGTGTAGAAAGCTCTTGTTTCCCATCACCTGTTTTAACCATCAAACTTTCTGTACCTGCTGTCGGAACTGGTTCAATTGCATTACATTCTGGCCTTAATTCATTACAAGGATCTTGCAATAAAATTCCAGTGCCTGGTACAGCTTCTCCATTAACTTGTGCTGGATGAACTGAGTCAATATCCATAGCTAATGGTATTGAATCAACATGTGCTCGACCTTCATTGTCACTCTCCTTATTTGGTGCCATTGAAATAGAAGGTCTTACATACTCAAACTCCTTATTCCACAGTTCATCTTGTTCCAGTAACTCACCATCTTCCTCTTTTTCATTCTGTTTGTCTCCCGACAAATTTAAAAAATCTCTATCACAATAATTATCTCCATCATAATTCTCTCCATCAGAATAATTTCTTTGGTCATTGATTTTCTGACTGCTTTCCTCATGCTTTTCATTACTTTCATCTTCCTCATGCTTTTCATTGCTTTCCTCATTGTGTTCAGTACTTTCATCTGCCTCGTGCTTTTGATTGCCTTTCACACTGCTTTCCTCATGGTTTTCATTGCTTTCATCATGATTTTTTAAATCTTTAATAAACTTTACAACAACATCAAGCTTGTCATTGATTTCCTGCATTAATGAATACAATATATTATTATAGAAAAAAAATCAATAGTAAAATAAATTGCCAAACTAGTTAATTACCTTAACAGCGCTCTTAACATACTTCTTCAACTTTTTTCGATTATCTTTAATTTTTGTTTTCATCTCTATTTGAAATTTATTATTATCCTCACGTACAATCTCTTCAACTTTGTCAGATACCCTCTGAAAAGAAAAGAAAAATGGTAAGAATTAGAGTATCATAACGGTTAAACATTCTTATCGAGTGTAAAAACAATTCAATAAAGAGTAGAATATAATTTTAGTAGAGTAAATTATTAGAACCAAAAAACATAATGAAATAAAATATTAGACTTATCCAGTATATTATAGTGGACAAAACAGCCTACATCTGGCAGTCTTCCAGTATAATATACTGAATGAAATGAATTTAAAGGTGTAAAACTCCAGAAAAAAATACTGGGATATAAAGAACTAAAATAATCAAAGGGTATATTATAAAACAAAAAGACAAATAATTATTCACAAGGTAACACACACTAGACTACCTGTAAATTATACTGGATGACATGAACCAGAAGAAATAAAAACTGACCAAGTATAACATATAGGAGGACAAGGTAACACACACTACATTACCTGTAAATTATACTAGATGACATGAATCAGAAGGAATAAAAACTCATTCTTGTATAACATACCGGACAACAAAAACACACACTAGTCTACCTAATGAAATGCAAGACTAAATAAAATAGAAGAAACAACTACTTACATTGACATTGTCGCTAACATTAACTTTTGATGAAGATTGGAGAAGATATGATTGATTCACCTTGAAAAGCTTATATTTCTATTAATTAAATAGAAATATAAATAGTTAGATAAAAACAAAATATATGAGCACAAGTATAAATTAAAAATTCACATACGATTAACTTACAGTTGTTTTCTTAAAGAAATCATCGCAAAGTGAGTCATATTTTGGACATCCAATGCTTGAGTAAGACAACATCCTTATTGGCCCCCGATCCTCATATATTGAATATTGACGGAAATCATTGAACACTTCCATAATCCATACATTAAAAAAGAAAGGGAATCCAAGTGACGTATAAGATGCGATCCTACCAATAGGTTTGTCTTTCACAGATTCTGTTTTCGGAAGATGAGACAAATTGTCAATAAGTTCTTGAAAGCAGTAACTCCCCCATGGAAAAGAAGAACAAAGTTCTGGATCGTCTATGATTTTCATATTACGTTCACTTATATTTCTTTTAATGTCTTTACCCAAAAGAACAGTTTCTAATATGTATATCTCAGCAAGCTTTACAGCATCTTCATCACAGACCTCGACATCATCACATATATCATCTGCTGCACCATCACGGAGTCGAGAACGCTTTGTGATAAATTTATACAAATGTTCTACCTTCAAACCTTTCGGCACATCAGAGAAATACCGTTTCTTCAAACGGTTATCTCTATCATCAACAAAACTATAATCAGATGCCTCAATCTTCAATCCGGTTATA